TCAATATTGGGTGTGAACACTGGGAGGCGACAGTAATACTCAATGAGGAACACCACAGTGATAATTGCTTATTTTATCACTCTGTTTGTGCAACATCTTTTGATGTATAAAGCCAGATACTTTATTATCTTACTGGGTTTCTTGGGCAAACATGCAGAAATAAAAGAGCTGAAGCTTCGAGCCAAATCTCAGTTAAATCCTTATTCTTTATTGTGTCCCGCAGGAAAAGCCTTGTATGTGAAAACACTTAAAGCAAAAGCAGTCTCAAGTTTTTTTTGTTTTTTTTTTTTTCTTCAGACTTTCTTTTGTGTATTGGTGTGCTGTTCTTGTCAAGGTTGTTTCCTGTCTCCAAAAGGCTTTCACTGTTCACGACGTGAACCGCCTGCAGCCTGCTGATATTGTATCCTCACTACAGTTCAACAAAGGAATAGTTTCCAAGCTGTGTATCATTTTGTAAATCAGTTAAACCCTCAACTGAAGACATTGAGAGAAAGCAATAAGAAAAAGATAACATATGATTGCTCCTCAAGTGCAGAAAAAATGCCGAAGTAAAAACTCATAAAGATGCAACCACATCCTTTTAAAAGCTTCTTAGCCAGTATTTAACCCACAAACAAATAGACTGGTGTGTTACCTCTGAAGCTCATTTCCTCTAAGCGGTGTAGTTCAATACTTGAAACAAGCTGCATTTTTCTACCCAAGTCTTCCGTTATTGGTTGGGTTTGTGTGGCATTATTCGTCAGACACCAAGATGGTAAGCTAACCTTAAACTTAACGCAATTCACTATTTTGACCAAGACAGTCGAAAATGTCTTGAGATGACAAAATTTAACTGGTGCTTCTGACAGTGACCCAATGCAATGACTATAAAACTGTTATGATGAACTGTAAAAAAAAAAAAATAATAAAAAAATAATTCTCAAGTTATTTACATTTACACAAAACAATGTTACATCCCCCAGTACCGTTTCTGTTGTTTTGTGATGGAATCCATTCCACTGATTGATAGGAGAATACTCATACCACTTAAAAGCTACTCCTGGTTTTCCAGGATACCAAGAACAAATAGAACAATGGTAAATGGTTTCTACTTGTATAGCTCATTATCTAGTTCAGAGAACCCCAGAATGCTTTAAACTACATTCGTTCACCCAGTCACACACACATTCACACACTGATAGTGGTAAGCTACAACTCACTGCACCACTGTGCTCCAAGCATAAACAACAAAGTGAATCCCTACAGCCGGTTGTTGGAAACTGGAAAAGGCTGCATCCATCCCGTTGATGATGATGTGCTAGTGCTAGCGGTTCAGTTGAAGTAAATGCAATAAGAGTTGAACTGCAGATGTGGAAAGCGTCTTTGCTGGAAAAACATTGAACAGAGGCAGACGTTGATATTTTTCAAAATAAAATATTTCACAAAATGCAGCCAAAATGAAAACCTTTACAAACCAGACAAAACAAAAAACCTGTCAAAATTCTCATCTGTGGTTAGCGTCGTATGGCATCATGGTAGGACACTTTCTGTGTCCCCTACTGCAGAGTCAGTGTGCAGGAAAAGTAAGAGAGGGAGAGAGAGAGACAGACAGGGAGACAGAAAGACAGAGAGACAGAGAGATAAATGCCTGAGAGAGCTGACAGAACCTGAGTAACAACATTAATTCTCAAATCCCCTCAGATCTCCCTTTAAGTAATCAAATTTAATGTTCATGCATCATGCTTCTTTAGTTCACTAATAATTAATTTGTGTTAGTATGAATACTATTGGTTTAATTATTAATTTGCTTAGTAGTCATGTCCAATGTAATTATTACATCTGAAATTAAAGCCCTATTAGTGTGATTTGGAGAATAGATAACATTACATAATACATTCCTTTAATTTCTATAGAATCTGTCCTTCAATATATTTTTCAATGTGATGACGTACTGTTTGATAACTAGAATTAATTGAAATGTATGTGTGATTGAATTGAAAAGACTTTTGGTGTAAAATGCCTTGAGTTGACGTTGGATCACTGTGTGTGTGTGTGTGTGTGATCCAAAAGTTTCTGACACAACTTCACAGACTCCCAAGATGCAAGGCAAGGGTCAATGTCCTGGTGAAGAGACTCAATCAGCACTAAAGAACTAGGAAAAAAATGTTATCAGCACACCAACATGTCTCGCTTTTGGCATTGATCAGGGTCTTTCCAAATCATCAAACATTATTGTAAGTGAATCTGATATGGACATATAAATACGTTATTCCTGCCTGCTTCACTACGTCTTATTTGCATGGCATTCATATTAACTTCGAAAGTGAGGTTGCGGATGGACCTCAAAAATTTCCAAGACTACGCTTTGCATTGTGCTTATTTCTCCCAACTTGGAACCCAAAAATCCAGATGAATGAGTAGAACTAGTAGGAGGCAAAAACAACACACAAGACATAAAATGGCAATGGTGTACAACAACTCAGAAGACTTCCTGCCACACTGCGATGATGCAATAACGGTAACCATTTTCATCATCTTTTTCTTTGTATTAAAAAGCTGTGAGAAAAGTTTACTTTGCAATATACTCATGTGAAACTCTAGACAAGTTGAAGCATGAGATTTTATGTCAGGTAAATAAGCAGTTATTATAGACTATGTGTTGTGTTGTGTTGCTTTGGTACTGAACCATCTTTGCTGCTTGCTGGACACTACTCAAAAGCATATTTTAAAATTGTAAATAGCACTCAGGTAATGCAAAAAAATAAATGAGTACATAGGTGTAACATAATAATACATTAAAATAAATCTAAACAACTTTCTACCTACATATCTTCACATACAAAATACTCGTATCCTCATATCACCTAAGAAAAATCTACTCGAATACAAATACATAAATGTTTCCAAATCCTTCTCCAATGTCTATGCTAATTATAAATCAAAAGATTTACATTTAGGCAGCAGCATCTTCCTCCTCATCAGCACAATAAGACACAGGACACATGCGGCTTTGTGGGTGGTGAAGATGATGATGACAGTGATGGGCTCGTAGAAGAGGAAGACCGCTGGGCTATCGATCCGGTAGAACACATCACTCCAGCTCAATTTACAGAACCAATCACATCCCCTGCTGATTGATGTGTGGATAATTGAGCTGTCGCTGGGGTTTTCATGTTTCCCCTCCTGCTTGAATCTAGACTTTAGGAATTGTATTGTATTTTACTTCAACACCATTTACAACAAAAGAAATCCTGCCGTGTATTTGTGTCAATATTCTGCCAGACTGCCGTCAGAGAAACGGAGAGACGCTAAATGCGGTACAAGGCATGATAGATCACTAGTGTGTCCAAGCTAATTAACCTCAGGGGCCAGAACTCCTGCAACCCTGAGGGGTCTGTCGGTGTGGCAGCTGCTTCTTCTTGACATCACACAGTTAAAGGCTCCTGTCTGGCTCCATTTTCCACTAAACTTCACTCTCGGTCTTAAACAAACAAATTATCCTATGTAGCCCACCTAAATTTACTACCATAAAAATAGATTCTTTGTTGTAGGCCATGATTCTCTTAAATAGATCATTGCTTGTCATGCTTGCGCTTTGCCAGGCATGTAGTCTTCTTTCAAAGCTAAGATAAATACAGCAAACTTTATAGAAAGATCAAAAAGAAAGTCAAATCTGGCTTGAAATAGAAATCTATGACATCATGTTTACTTCGTCCAAATTCATATTACCTGATGTGTCTTCTTACTGCTGGTTCTGGTATCATTTTCTAGTTTTTGTCCCCTCTTGAACTTCAGGACCCAGGGTCACCAGAAACAAAGCATGTGGGAATCTATCTCAAAAGCATCACTGGAGGTAGGTGCTTTCAAATAGACCTGAAATAAAGAGGAAGCTTTGTAGTGGGATGATTTAAAAAAAAATAAAATAAATAAAAATTTCACAAGGTGAATGTTGTCACAATTTTTAATCATCTGCAGTTTATATTTTCTGTTAACTTTACATGAGTTCCATACCTTTGTTTTCAAACACATTTAATTGCTGAATATTGCAGTGTTTTACCGTGTTTCAATTCAAATGCATTGATAAAATGCTCCACTCTTAGTGGAAATATTTAATTACAAGTGGAAACACGCAAGATTAAACAGGTTCAGAAAAGCCTTAAGTCTTGGCAGCTAGAGCTAAGAGCTTCTCTTGGGGTGACAACTTCAAACATCTCCTGGTTAAAATAAAATTGTGGTCTAAATTAAGCAAAAGCTATTTCATGAACCTTTAAACTTCATCACATTTTCATAGGAAAGTCGATTCTCTTTTTACACTGCAAGTAGGAAACGTTGCTTTATCGAAGCTAAAGGCGTAGTCCATTTGGTTTCAAACATGTTGCTGCTAAACTTTTGTTGTCAACCATGTTTGAGAAGATTTAGTTTTGTGACAAACTGGGGGTGGATTTTCTTTTTATTATGAACCCAAATATAGAATATTAAAGGTTACAATGACCAACAACGCCACCTGGAATAACTCCAGGAAAATGTAATGAAATAAGGACACAGGTAAGTTCTGCTGGAAAGGAGGAGACGAGATTCAGAAAGTTCTACAAAAATTTATTAAACTTCAATATATCTTTTAAATTTCCAATAATCTGAAAGTGAATGGTTAAAACAGTGAATGCATTTGCCAAGATTTATTATAACAAAATGTTTAAATTTCAACTTAAACTGAGGCTTATCAATGGGGGCAGTAGTGAGGGAAGGGGCAACATCCAGTGCAGAAAAAGGGACCACCCTGGACACTACAAAAACACAGCAAAACAAAGAAAGAAAAAGGTGCTCCAACAAAACACACAAGACAAGACACTGCCACCAGGGGTCACCACCGCCACCACAGAAGCCTCAGTCCCTAAAAGAAAGACAAAAAATGAAACAATATGAGTAAAACAGTGGTACAATAGCACTACAAAGTTGCACTTTATCCCCTTAGTAGTGCCATCAATGCTCCCGGCAGCAGAGAAAGTTCAGGTTGGTCTTTAAAAACAATTTATAGGTAGGCAAAACAGCAGCGAGTGTCACTCCAGGTACAATGCTGATGAGTCATCAGAAGGCTAAAAAGAATAGAGCAAATTATTAATACAACTGCTAACAAAAACATAACTTGCAGCAGCCGCTTACCTGTGAACTGATAAATGACTGCACTGCCAAATAATCAGATCCCCAATTCCGCCTAGATGCAGTGCAACTGTAAGAAACCGCTATGTGAAGGTTTTGTTTACATGGGGTAGATGTTACCTAGCCACGTTAGCCCTTACCTTCCTGTCAGCAAACAAATGAATGGACAGATCAGTCCAGATATTGGAGGTGCAGCAAAGGAGACTAAGCAGATAAACCAATTAGCATTAATAGCCATTATTAAAGCCGACAAACGATAAAACAGCCACGCTTACCCAGAACAGTGCAAACAAAGGAAGCAGATTTGGTTGACGTCACGACGCAAGCAGCCTCATGACAGGTGAAGGCTTGCTTATATGCACGAGCTGAAATTGACCTTAAAGTGGCATCTACAGTCTGACATTAATGGGACACTAGTGTTGCTATTTTTAGGCTCACATCCCATATGTATCTTTATTACATTCCTCTCCTTCTAATGGGTCCCGCTGATTGCTGAACTGACGATCCTGAGTTGGAGGACGCTTGCTGATTTTGCTGATGTTCAGTTTTTCATTATCATGCAGACAACAGTATCCTATGATTACATGTCAAAGCACACAAAAGAAAAATGCAAGAAAAGGAACACAACAAAGAAAAAGGAAATCAAAATGGCTTTCTTGTTCATTCTTTGTACTGATAAGAAGGACAGATGGCAGTTTACAAATATCTGGGGCATTTTTTTTTCTTTTCAGCTAAAATTTACATGAGCCCTGTCACAAAGATGATGAAAATGGGTTTTCTCTGTGGTCCGAGCAGCACTACGCTGCAGAGCACATTAGGCCATAAAAACCTCCCATGGAGTCTTTCTGTCGGTAAATGGCTGAGCAGCAGGTTGACGCTGCCCACACGGAAATGTTGCTGCCAAAGAATTAATAATTAAAGACCTTCTGTGGCACTTTTTTCCTCTCAATGTTCTCTCTCAGGATGACCATAAGCAACTTGATTATCCTTGTCAACATCAACTGTGTAAGATTACCATCTACTGCCCGCTGACACCACAGCCATCTTGTCAAAGCTTGCTCGCTCTCCGACAAAATGCACCATTGCTCTCAGGCTGTGGCAGCTTCATCAGAAAACTGCACTCGGATACCTTGAGATAATCCCCACTCACAGCAGGCCTAAATCACCGAGCACTGAAGGAGAGGTGACTCTTGCAGTTTGCAGAGAGTCTTTTTTTTTTTTTTGTTTATGCTATAGTCGTTAGGGTACTTGCACAAATGAAACCAAACCTGCATCAAGAGGAAGCAGGAGGTAAGTCATATTCTAAGATGAAGCAAAATCAGTGGCTCACTGACTGTGGCTGAAACCTAAACAACAAATCCTAGAGTGTGAGGGTTCTTACATAAACCAGCCAAAGAGACGCTGAATGGAATCCAAAAATAATCTTAATTTATTACAAAAAAGTTCAAAAATAGTTAAACAAGGAAGAATTGGGCCCAAAACTAAGGTCAACATAACAAACTACAACTCAGGTGGTAACACAAACAACTCAAGCAACAAAACTGACCTAACAAAGGAGACATGAGGGGAACTTAAACAGTGGCTGATCAGACCACTGCTGACACACAAGGGGTAATTAAACATACAAAAACTTAAACAAATACTAATCAATACAATACCAAATCTATAAATTAAATAAACATTAGAATGAAACTACCAAATAGAAGACACATTAAAGAAATGGTCAAATTAAACTAAAGAAAACCAAATGTCCTTGTCCCCTGGCAAACAGATGGAACTACCTGCTGAGGAGGTTTGCCAGCCATATAAGGACATCAATTAGCTGGACCTCCTCTGTGACCCTCAAACAGCAGCTCCAAAGGAAACTGGCAACTCAAAACAAAGAAATTAATAACAAAAATATAAAGAACTGACGAATAAAGTTAACTAAATGTGTGCACTGCAAATAGTTAACTAAAAAGTCAGGCTAATGAAACTAATTTTTAAAAATAAAAATGTAAACTATTCACTAATTAATATCTAAACTAATGTTAAGGATAAACAAACAAACAAACAAACAAACAAACAAAAGATCACCATTCAGGTCTGTGTGACAGTAGGGCCAGCTGTCACACAGAGAAACTCCAAAAGATGAAAAAGGCTATGCCACACTTATTCTTCATTGCTTTTACTCAAAAGTTATAATATATTTTATTGTTTATTAAGCAGGTTGCATTGCTATAGGAGTATGTTGGGTGCAAGGACTGAAAAAAAAAGTCTAATAAAAATATTTATTGTCCATTTATTGGCCTATGCAATCAGGTCAGTGATTATTAATCAGCCTTGTAACCAAGGGCTTTCTGCCTTCATATACATAATCCTATGGATTGCTTTAAACCTGCATTTTAATTGACACATTTGAATGGCAAGCTAATTTAACCTTTGTAACATTTTTGCAAACTGTGACTTGAACTAAATAATGTAAATGAGCAGTGGTGGGCTGCTAACAAATCACTGTTCATCCTGAAAATCTGACATACTAATATTCTACCCATAAACTATTAAAAAAATAAAATAATGCGATCATGTGCGAACAAAACGAAGGGAAGGCTCGTAGTGAGATTTCTTAAAGAACAAACACTGAAATCCAACTTTTTTGCTTTTTGTGAGGAGGTCAGTGTACCACAAAGTTAATAAATCCAAAGAGGTTTGTTAGAAGGCCTGGTCTGAACCAGTGACCAGGTCAGGTTCAATGGAGGGTGGGTATTATTGAACTGTTAGCATCGTAGCACACGAGAAGGAGTTCACTATAAGCTGTGGAAACCTGCAAAAGGCTTCCACAAACAAAACAGGACATATGAGTTTCATCTAGATATGCAACAAATATTAAAATATAATAGGAAGAAAAAATGAATAAGTTAAAGTCTAAAGTGTGGGTTGGTTAAGAGAACTCGGCAATTAGAAAATTGAAAAACACTGCAGCTGTGCAATTTACAATAAATGCATGCGTTACTAAAAGATGATGAGGAAATCTGATTCTTTTGTCAGATGATATTGATGCAGAGCAAGTTCTTCTGATTAATGTTTATGGTGTCGGACCTCTTAAAAAACCCACATTATCTTCTAGATGAAGAAATGACTTGTCATGCAGTGAAGCTATCCTGTGATTCTTATGTCTCACCATGTCCGTGGAGGGATGATATAACTTACATGTACCTTTTTCTTGTGAGATGACCCTCAACAGCAAAACTAAACCCTTCCTCTGTCTGCTTCACTTCCCCTGTGATTTATGAAGCATACAAAGCTGCTTTCAGCTGAGCCCTTTACTCTTTAGACGCTTTCTTTAATTTTAAAGCCCGAACTCGCTTGTTTGCCAGAAATGTGGGTAAGAAAAAAAAAATGTTGGCGCTCAGAGGCAGACAAAGAGAAGAATAATTTAGTCATTTGTTTCAGGTGTCGTCCAATTGCTGCATGAAGTATTGTCAGCCTTGCATCAATTATGCACAAGCCAGATCCAAAAGCAAACATAGCCTCAGGGACTATGGCTGCCTGGTGCTTGAATTTTCTGGAACAAGGCCCCAGGAAATCACAGTCCAAAGCAGGGCGTGACATTCACGGTTGCCTGGAGCCACTAAGCTCTGTGACTGAGCCAATGGAAAATCTTGCACAGAACTGTGATTGGATACATAAAAGAAATTAGAATAATAAAAGAAAAAGATTGTCATCAAATATGTTTGGATAGTAATAACTGGTGTTCCACAAGCTATTTGGTCAATTTTGATATTGTCTCGGTTAAATCCACTTTTCAAATTTATTGTTTCCACAAACATTTCAGTTTTTCAACCTTCTTGTTGGTAGGCAAACTCAAAACCCAACTAGTATAGATCTCATTTCAGATTTTACAAAGGTGAAAGCTTATCATAGCTTAATGCATCCATTGCAAGAATTTGTAATGATCACACTTTGTATTAGGCTTTGTTCCTCAACAACAGATACAGATCAACAGTTATGGATGCACAATTTAGTGGTTCCTCCTTGTGCCTCTGGGATTTTAAGCTTTTACCTTCATGGTGTGAGATTGACAAAAAACGCTCACAATATCCATTGAAATAATATCCATTATTAGTGAATGTGTTAGATTTTTGCCTTTAAAAGCATTTGAGAGAGGACATGTCCATGAAAAATTGAGTACCTGCCTATTGTTTTTTATACACCGGACTATGCATTATCAATAAAAATGTCATAAGTAATACATATTTCCTCTTGTTTCCCTGCATGAAATGATCTCTTGCTTGGTTTAGTTTAGTGTTTAAAACTATACCTTGTAACATTTTGCCTGTCTTCCATTACATCACTTCAGCTTGGACATCAGATGCTATAGCTGGTCCCTACATAATGTTCAATGTATTTAATCTTCTTTTATGAATGTACTTGCTGGACAGGAAACCATCAGTTACATATGAGGGATTAAACAGATGGCAAAGGACATGTGAAAACAGGCACAAGAACTGAGTGTCTCTTCATTGCTACTCCATTGTTGCTTCTAATGGTTGCAATTATAACTTGCATTCAGTGGCATTGTGGGCTTTTCAAAACTGAGGGGAATGTGGGTCACCTGCATAAGGAGAGTAGGTTTAGACGTATGAGAGGGTGTATCAGGTATGTCTTATGGCCTCTATGNAAAACAGCAGCGAGTGTCACTCCAGGTACAATGCTGATGAGTCATCAGAAGGCTAAAAAGAATAGAGCAAATTATTAATACAACTGCTAACAAAAACATAACTTGCAGCAGCTGCATACCTGTGACCTGATAAATGACTGCACTGCCAAATAACCAGATCCCCAATTCCGCCTAGATGCAGTGCAACTGTAAGAAAATGCTATGTGATATGTCCAGATCGGTCCAGATATTGGAGGTGCAGCAAAGGAGACTAAGCAGATAGACCAGTTAGCATTAACTACTATTAAAGCAGACAAAAAAAGAATAAAACAGCCACGCTTAACCAGTACGGTGCAAACAAAGGAAGCAGATTGAGTTGACGTCACAACGCAAGCAGCCTCATGACAGGTGAAGGCTTGCTTATATGCACGAGCTGAAATTGACCTTAAAGTGGCATCTACAGTCTGACATTAATGGGACACTAGTGTTGCTATTTTTAGGCTCACATCCCATATGTATCTTTATTACATTCCTCTCCTTCTAATGGGTCCCGCTGATTGCTGAACTGACGATCCTGAGTTGGAGGACGCTTGCTGATTTTGCTGATGTTCAGTTTTTCATTATCATGCAGACAACAGTATCCTATGATTACATGTCAAAGCACACAAAAGAAAAATGCAAGAAAAGGAACACAACAAAGAAAAAGGAAATCAAAATGGCTTTCT